CAAACTAGTTCCAGATAATCGTTAGTTCCGTAGTTCTAGTTCTGGAACTGGAACTAATTAGTACCGGAACTGAAACTGGAACTTTGCCCATCACTGCTCATATGCTAACTTAACTATGTATATGTACATATAATTTTATTATGATACACTTACAGTGATATCCTTTTATCATTGCAATCGTTCTTGTCTTTGCAATAGCTTATACGTTGTTCATGTTCAGGTTTCAAAGTATCACAAAAACTATAAATGTTTTTATTTATTAAATTATAATTTATATTTAAAAATTTTATTTTTTATAATAAAATCATTATAATTTCACTAACCTTTGGTCAATAACACCAATTGCACGGAAGTCCTCTGTGCAGCTTAGATATTAAAAAATTAAGTAATATTGTTTTAAATAGGGTTCGGGGTAGGGGTTTTCGAATTGTTTCGGGGCAGGGTAGGGGTCGGTGGAGCAAAATATGGTCGTGGTTCTGGTATGAGTATGGGATTTAATTTAAAAAAATTTTTAAAAGATAAAGTTCCAAAAAAGTTCTCTTCACACACTCTTAGCAGGAAGCTCAAAGAGGATTTTGATAGTTCATTTACTTTTCTTTCAAGAATAATAAGTACAAAGTAAATTAAGATGAAATTTTCACAAATTTTTTCTTTGGTGTTTACACCGTAAATCTCTACGCTGTAAATCTCTCGGGGTGTGGGTTTTCGAATCTTTTTTTGCGGAATTCGGGTCAGAATAACTGGGAAGTTGGTTCGGGAACGAGGTACGGGGAACTGAGTCTGGGCGCAACACTAGTTTTAAACAATCATTATAGAATAATAAATCCATTTTGCTTTATAATATAATTAGTACAAAAATTTTTTAAAATTATTTTTTTAATTTTAAAATTATTCTAAAAACATACACTGGGTAGCCAAAAGTTTTAGACCTTGTATCATCTGTAAAATTTTTGAATAGGTAAATATGTAATGTAAATGTTAGTGTGAGACAAATAATAATTTTAGTTAATAAGAATATTACATACATATTAAAGGATTTATTTTTTTCAAGTATAATCCTGCTTGATTCGATTTTTAATCGAAAAATAGCGAGCAAAGCTCCGGCCGGTTCTATTTATTTACAGTGAGTGATTTTGATTACCTTGGTAATCCGTTAGAAAATTGAAATTTTGAAAAAAATGTTTTCGTAGGAAAGACTACAGCTCCTGAAATTAATTGGTAATACTCCGGCTGACGCCCCCATTTTTTTCTTTTTTTATGCGAAATTATAAAAATTCAAAAGAGCTCATCCAGATGATTCGAATGCCTCCTTAATCACGAAATCAAACTTAAGTCACCGAAGTATATGTATTACCAATTAATTTTTTCCACCGGCATTTAAAAACCACTTTATCTGTTAGTATAATTATCAACCCAAGAAATAAAGGAAGGGATTATTTGGTGAAAATCTTATTTAAATAAATAATACATTGGCTGCAGGAATAGTCACATGTAAACTTTTTGTCGTTTTTACACCATTCTGCACAGTTTGGGCATGGTGCAATTTCCTGAAAAATAAGGATTTTATCTATATTAATTATAAATAAATATACGTGTTTATTCACAAGCCTTCCAGCAATATCTTGAATTTTTATCAAAGGACTAGGAGGAGCTTGAAGATATACACAAGTCCTATAAAAATAATAAAATTCCCGTTTAGTAGCTTTTAATTATATAAGTAGTTGACTATCTAATAACTTTATCTAGATATAATCCAAGAATCTTAAGGGGATTGCTTTATGGTTTCTATTTCTACCAAAAAGTAATAACACAATGCTTTATAAAATATTTTTTGCAAACCGGCAAAATTTATGTTTTGAAACTTTAATGAAATTATTAAAGGATATTTAATATGAAATTCTTTTGGTATATGTAAGTAATTAATTAGAGAATCCTATTTGTAAAAATCTTATTAAATTAAGAAACTTGTTATCTATAAATTATAAATAATATGATGAAAGGAAACTCACAATCGAAACCATTCATATAAAATTTTGCACTTAGCTACCCAATTACATGCCCAAACTCCTTTAGTTCTCATTTTATTTTGGTAAAGTGTAACTATCGGAGGACGTCCTTCGTATATATCTTCTGGCATTCCTTTTATGCATTTATGGTCTCTAAATTAAATTAAATCGTGAACTAATTCTCCCATAAAAATTAGAGAGTGATTAAACAAGACTTATATCTAGGGATTGGATTTATATGGACTATCAATCTCAAAATATGGATTGAAATATGGACCGAAATGAGAATTTTTAACGAAAAAATTTTCATTTTTAAGTAGAAAATGTTAATTAAGTTAATTTTGATGCAAATTATTACAAATAAACCAATTAATAGTGATTATTTTGTTTCTAAAAATATTTTGGATAATATTTGAGTCGAAAATTTTTGAAAAATTTTTGTCAAAATTTTTATAAAAAATTTTCAAAAATTTTTCGAAAAAATTTTTTCAAAAAAGTTTTTTGTAAAAATTTTTACCAAAAATTTCATAAATTTGAAAATTTTAACCAATTTTTGGCAAAATTTTACAAAAAATGACGACGGAACGCCTAAATATGAAAAAATATGGATTGATAACTCAAAAACGGCCTTATCACCATATGCTAAAAACATGTTTTTTGGACGTTTCAGAACCCAACGAGTTCAGGAAAAAATATGGAAATCCATATAAATCCCATCCCTACTTATATCTAACGAGCTATTAAAATTTCCTATAGTTTTCTCAATTAAAGTCTAAATTTCAGAATAAAATTATGAGTGGGCACATCCGCATTTAAACAAGAGCTTCGATTTTTGCGGATTTTTCCTCATTTTTTGGTTTTTGATATGTCAATCCGCATAAAATCCGCATAAAAATGCGGATTTGCGTATTTTTGTGGGCCTATGAAGACTATGAGGATTTATTATATTTCCTTCTAGTTTTTATAAAAGATGTCGGTAAAATTCAATTTCGTTCCCCCCCCCTCCTTTTTTACCTCCTTAAAGTATACAAAATGGTCAGTCGATCATCAGTTATAGAACTCGTCGAGCTGTGTCGAATGACACCAAAATCGAAAAAATCGGACTTGATTTGACCGAAATACAGACCCCTGAAAATTGAACAACCATTTAGGGGATTTTTTTGACTAAAAAAATTTTATCCAAATGATAGTTCATTCGAAAGAGCTCTTCGAGCTGAGTCGAATGACATCAAAATCAACGTAATCGGACAAGATTTGACTAAGTTACGACATTATTTAGACCTACCGGAGTCGAGGATTTATGTCATATCTTTGTCAAATCAAGTCGGATCACGTCGATTTTGGTGTCATTCGACTCAGCTCGACGAGCTCTTTCGAATGAGCTATCATTTGTATACTTTTTCGTTTTTTTGTTTTTTCGCCCCTATGGTTGTTCAATTTTCAGGGGTCTGTATTTCGGTCAAATCAAGTCCGATTTTTTCGATTTTGGTGTCATTCGACACAGCTCGACGAGTTCTATAACTGATGATCGACTGACCATTTTGTAATACTTTAAGGAAGTAAAAAAGGAGGGGGGGGGAACGAAATTGAATTTTACCAAGATGTCATTTATTCTCTCACGGCCTTCGAAAATTCTCAAAATTTTCGCCTGCGTCGCAGAAAAAGGAAGAAAGTTGACCAACTGGCTTTCAAAAATTCTCAAAATCAACCACTAAATTAAAAATAGTAGCTTAATTAGAAATTCTTTGATGGGATTATTTAATTTTTTGCCAAATAGTAAAAAACATACGGTATTAGTTTGAAATAGGTTTTCAATCTTTCATCAGATTTTTTATCTTTATAAGTGTAGCAATGTTTTAGAGCATCACACATTCTGAATCAAATATATATTTTTATATATTAAGTTATAAGTTTTTAAACTAACTCTTTTGCACTTTCGTCAACCGGCTTAAAATCCTTTGTACAGCTGAACGTAATTTTTTAAAATTTATTTATTAAACAAATGATGAGGGTGATATTGGTTATACTTTATAAATATTAATATTCCATTTTCAGACTTTATACCAATATATTCTGGGGATTTTTAAGCGGAAATAATCCTAATAAATGTCCGTTTGGTGTCCTATGTACATGTCCGCAAAGAGTATGCGCATTTTTCCTTCCTTTCCTTGTATTTTTTCTGCAAGGAGTGGCGTCCATTTTTCCCTTATGTATGGTATGCCTTTTGGCAGGTGGAAGGAAAGAGGGAAAATAATTAAAATTAATTATTAATAAAGTGCAAATAAATATTATATTTTATGGATGATCATAGATGAAAAATTTGGGACAACCCCAAATAGATTTCTAAAATATCTTAATAGAATATATATATATAGAATATATATAATATATCTTAATAGAATATTCTATTAATATAATATATCTTAATAGAATATATAATATAATATCTTAATAGAATCTTAATCCATTCGAAATCTTAATCTGTTCCAGAATGCTTCAATCTGCTGTTTTTGCGCCGTTGACTGGATTCATAAAGAATTGTTGATTTACTGTTTGTTGTTGATATCCTAACTGATCTAACCCTGAAGTGAATTAATTCTATTTTTCCCTTTTCAGCTATTTGTTCCCTTTTCAGCGCCGCAGGCGAAAATTTTTTGAATTCCAGTATAGTTAGGTGTTAAAAATCCTCGTTTTTATAAAAAATACAGGAAAAAATGGGAAAATTCCAAAACCGTATAAAATCCCAAATCCGGTGCTCGAAATTTGCCGGACCCGGATTCCGGATTTGCAACTAGAGCCGGACCGGATCCGGCGGATTTTTCCGGATAAATCCGGTCCGGTTTTAATCCGTCATCGGTTGAATAAATAACCCATCATCGGGTTGGATGGTGGCACAGTCGGTTGTGCTTTCGGTTTGGGCTCTTTCCGCGATGGTTCAATTCCATCTCCCATCCACAATTTTTCCACAGCATGAACATCGGACATGACAAATGGCTCAGCCGACAGGATTCGAACCTGCGCGGGCAAAGCCCAGTGGATTTCAAAGGGAGAATATGAGGAAAGTGGCCGTCAAATTGTTGAAAGGAAAGAGCCCAAACCGAAAGCACAACCGACTGTGCCACCATCCAACCCGATGATGGGTTATTTATTTTCATTTATGTTCTTTCTGCAAGTGCGGACATAACACTCCTTCCGCCTTGCGAAACCAAGCGTCCTCGCTTGTTGCTTGTCTTCTACTATCATTTAATAATTAATTTTAATTATTTTCCCTCTTTCCTTCCACGTGCCAAAAGTCATACCATAACAAGTGAAAAATGGGCGCCACTCCTTGCAGAAAAAAATGCAAGAAAGGAAAAAATGCACATTCTCTTTGCGGACACGTACATAGGACGCCAACCGGATATTTACCAATAATCCTAAATTATCCTAACAATTCTTGCAAGAAGGCTAGGCAAATAAAAATATACTTACAGTGGAAAATCTTCGCTGTGAGACACTTCATTCTGCCCTACAGTGCTATACTCGTACACTATTAATAATAAAAGTAAATAATTAATTTAATTTTAAAATCAAACAATATTATAATTTTTACTTACCATGTCCACAAGAATAATTACAAGTGAATTCATCACTGTTATCTTCCCTGCACCAATCTGCACAGTTAGGGCAAGGGTAAGTAATCTAGGATAATAGATTTAGTAATTGTTATATTTTATTTAAAATCTACATATCGCACTAAGCATCGACACTTCTTATCACTTGAACTCCACTCTTCATTGCAGTCTGGGCATATGGGCTTATCCTATAAAATATTTAAAAATTGCAAAGTCCTTCTATGAATTTTACAATTTCAAGAGAACTTTTAACCGGGGCACCTTCACTACCTCCATCCAACAGTAATATAACCATCATTACAAGAATCACAATCAAAAATACAACACTATCCATTTTCTATAAATAAATATTTATATCATATTAATAATCATAATTAACTTGGAACTTCAATTATTTTTAAAAATTTAAATTTAAAACTTACAACCATTGTAGCGCAAGACCGATTCAACGTTCTCACGTTACTCTAAAATCAGAATACAATTTTTTAAGAGTTTAAAAGATTAATTTAATTATTAATATTGCTTATTAATCTTATATTTTCTTATTTATGTTAGAATAATCAGAATGTCTGTAATTAAACATAGTGAGTTTGAGAAGTGAAAAATTGCAAAAATAACGGAAGGACAGACATTTCTAGATTTTCTAATCTAAAAATTGTTTTTGGAAATTTCTTTTATTTCCTAAAATATTTTAAACAAATTAATTCTTTTTTTTCTAAACTATAATTTATTTAAAGTATTTTATCAGCAAGTTTTTTTGAAAAGAAAGGTTAAAACATATTTATAGCCAAAAAATAAGCTTACTTTTAGAAAGAAAATTGTTTGAAATTTAAAATAAAATTTGATAATTAAATCTGAAATTTTTAATAATTAATTAATTAAAATCGTTTAAAATTAATTAGTTTGTTAGATTAATTAGTTTGTAATGGTTCTGTTAGATTAATTAAAAATAAAAATTTTTAAATTAATTAATTAAATGAATCATTTAATTTTCTGTTTATATTTTATTTTAATATTTCTAAAATTTTAATAAAATGATGGCAATGTTAGTGATGGATAAATGAACGTTAATTGAGCAGTGATTTTTTAGATAAAAATAGATATTAATAGATAAAAGTAAAATATTTATGATGGATTCTAACAATTTTAATTAATCAAATTACGAAGTCATCATTAATTAAAATTACATTAAATGAGTCGAAAAATACTTGTGTATGATAAATAGAGAGTTTAGATTAGCAGACCCCAACACAATGATTACCTAGTACCGTATCTTAGGTTATGAGTAAACAATCGAGTTCGAGCTTAATAATCAATCTTTAATAAAAACACACTTTCAGATATTTTTTCCAATTGTTTAAATCTCTCACATTTCCGTCACTTAACCTCATTATCATCTGAGAACTCATAATTAAGCTAGGTTATGCTTGCATTAAGAATAACAAAATTTAAAAGGATTTATACAAGTAAAATAGCCGAGAATCTTATTTTTAACTATTTGCAAAGAATTTTAAAATTAGGCCTCTTTATTCTCTCATAATTAATCAGTAATACTGTTTTAGTGATCATCTTATAATTTTAAAAATGTGTAAAATATTCATAATTTAAAAAATCAAACATCAAATTATAAGTAATTAATACTTTCAAAACTAAATTTAATATATAAAATTATCCAGTAAAATGATGATTAATTTCAAATGGAAAAATTTTTATTAGAATTTTAAGCCTAAATATTGTCGATATTGTCATCTGATCAAAAGTTTGAAAATAAAATAAAAAAATAAGCAGAGTACATAAAAGGATTTTATTTTATCGAAAATTTGTCCAAACATAAAACATAGACCGTACCCCAAGACTTGAAGCTAAAAAATTTTATACAGATTTTCTTTCGGCCAATTACTAAGTCTAATCAAAAGAAATCGAAAACCAGGTCTGGTCTAAATGTAGAATTAAAATGTAGCATTGTTTAGATGCAGAACTGCATTTAAAATATTATGTGTTTTCAAAGTTATGTATTTTTCACTCTCACTTTAGTTACCCCAATTCTATTAATCTCCTTGACCCTCCCTTGATTAATTATTTTCTCCAATTTAATTATTCTTTTCTTTAACTAGCAGTAAATCTGAAACAATAATTACCCAGGGTAGTTAATAAAAGTTTAACGGTATACTATGAAATAATTATGATATACTATGTAATGTTTTTAAAATTTTATTATTATAATATTTATAGTGTAAACAAATAAAATAATTTTATCTTCTTTTAATTTCATTTATTCACTCATGCTTAAAAGATGGATTCTTATAGAAATTAACATTATTATCTGGTTCACCTTCCACCTGAAAATTGTTAAAATATTGTTTAAGAATTTTAAAAAACTGATCAATTCCTAGTGTCTGAACAAATAAAACTAAGAGATCGAGTAAAGAATTGAGTATAGTACACGCTCCACAAAAGTATAGCGCCAACACTATTTTTCTCGGTTTCAACATTGTAACCGGTGTTTTTATTTCTAGATTTTTTTGTGATAATAAATCTAAAATTAGGTTTATAAAAAATTTTGTTATATAAACAATTTTTCGATAGTTATAGGCAAATAAATATCCATTAGGAAATCCCCTCCAGTATACTCCAGTGTTTTGTATTTTGTAGAATGACAGGTGTTTGTTAGATTAATTCAGGATCCCGAAACTTTGAATTTTCAGTCTCTCTGTTTTATTTAGTAATATATTCTTATTCACCATTAATTGTTTTATTTCTTCCAATTTAAATTTAACATCGTGTTCTCTTTTAATTAATAATTCTTTTGTATTTTCTGATGTTATTGTTGTTGTAATATTAAAATTATCTTTATTTCTAACATATTTAAATTTAATATTCATTTCAATTTGTTCAGGTAATTTTTCCAATTTTGGATCAGAATAAAAATTAATTGGTCCAGAAAAATTATTCTTGATTTAGTCAAAATTAAAGAAAATATTTTTATTTAATTATTTAACCTTTAACAATTGAAGATGCCGCACATAAATAAATGGAGGTGTTATCTCTCCATTTTCTTTATTATTTCCTATATCAGTTCGTACAAAAATTAATAGAGGAATCTGCCCTTTATCATTTACTTTAAATTATTATGAAAAATTTATTTTAATTAAAAAGTTGAAGAATTTAGGGAATTAAAATTTAATTAACGTATTTTTTACATATGTATAAATGAATGGCCGTCTACATTATATAGCAGCCCTTTGAGAAGAGTTGATAAAGTCTTATTCGAGAAAATAAGGTATAATTTTGCCTGAAATAATCTAATCAAATTTTTGATATTGGGGGTTTCCAAATCTTTAGCATACTGTGACCAGAGCAAGTTTTTCTAGCACGATTTTTAGTGCCGCCGGCGAAAATTTTATAAATTTTGGGCGGCTAAAATTCCTCGATTCCTCGGCATATATTTAGGGGCAGGAAAATTAATTAATAACTAACCAAATTTTGCAAGATTATTCATGTTTGTTAAATAATCAAGTTTAAATTTTTCTTTATTTTCTACAAGTAAAGCAAAGCCGAAGAATGTTGGATGTTTCAATTTGAAATAAAACGTAACTTCTGCTTTTCGTTGTTTTGCCCAAGTTAAATTAAATGCTCTGGAGTAAGGCAAAACAATCTGTTCTACTTTGATTTGTTCAACTTCTTTATGACCAGTTATCTTAACAATATTTTTTGATAAAATATATTTTGAATTATACAGCTTTCCTTAACTTTTCTTTTACTGCTTCACGCCGACGTTAAATTTATTTATCTATTTTTTAGCATTCTAAACCCAAAAACTTTTGAAAACTAATAAAATATTTAATATCCTGAACAAAATGTGTAATTTATTTCTTTGCCCCCTTTTCGTAATTACCTAACCATTGATAAAATTTAATTATCTTTCAATTCAGCATATTTCAACTTACAGCAATTTCTTCAATTTTATCAACTGGTTGTTGTTTTGAAGAAGTAAAATAAAAAATATCATCTCCAATGTTAACCTCAATTTTATTACGTTTCACAAACACATTTAGTTCGGCAGGATTATTTGTTAAATTTGTTTTTTCTCGAGGTGTCGTCATTGTATACATTCCAATAGACTCGCCCTTTATATAAATTTTTTTAAATATATTTTTAAATTAATTTAATTAAGATTTAATTATTTCACTAAGCTTCAAACTAAATAATTTTCTAAATATCTTTTCAACGAGTTGCGGGCAGTGCTGGGTATGGCTCCGGGAGCTAGCTCCGGAGCCCGGCTCCGGAGCCGGCTCCGGCGGAGCCGGAGCCGGAGCCGGAGCTAAGATTTTGAAAACCCCGGAGCCGGAGCTGGAGCCGGAGCCAAGAATTTCAAACCCCGGAGCCCGGAGCCGGAGCCAAGGTTTTCCAATTCCCCACGGCTCCGGCTATACACCCCTAAAGATGGGTTAGAGAAAAAGAAGTAAGCAAAGATGGTAGGCGAGAAGAGAAAAGGAAGAGAAAATTGAGACGGG